CCCTAATCCATCCACCTCATTACCCCATTTGCTATATCTTAAAATTCCCAGCTCAAGACATATAGGAAGGAGATTCACAAGCTGGGCTCCTGCTTCTCCATTCTTTGGCCATTGACTAAAACTTGTGCTCAGTTTCAGTCTTATAAGACTGTGACTATGAATGGAGAAAACAAAAATCTCATCTTTGGGAATAAATTTTTTAAATTGGTGACATGATGACTGCCAACCTGTAGAAGTTAATGCTGACTTAATATAATCTCTTGTTATTCTTGCATTGAGCTATGGATGTTCCCAAGTAGCTGTTAAGCTCTTTGGTAATCAGTAGATTTCAGAGTTGGGAGAACCATGGGACCAGCAGGTGGTGTGGTGATTAAGGCACTGGACTCCCACATGGCCGGCCGCAGTTTGAGTCCTGGACCTGGCAGCTTGCTTTCTCTCTTCCCTCTCTCTCTTCCTATCTCTCTCTGGTGAGTACCTGTGCCCTACAGCAAATTTTAAAAGATAATACTAATAATAAAATTAAAATAAATAATTTTAGAATAGGAAGAGCCATAAAAATAGTGCCTACTAGGGGCCAGCAGATGGCATAGTATTTATGTCACTGGACTCCCACATGGCTGACTGCTTTCGAGTCCTGGAGCATGTGTGTGTGTGTGTGTGTGTGTGTGTGCCCAAGATCCCACAAGGAGAATGGAGAAGGGATTGGGGCATGGCCATCCCCTCAGGGGGGTGATTTCTCGTTTTCTGTCTCTCTGGTGAGCGCACATGACCTATAGCCAAAAAAAATCTCTCTTTAAAAGAAAAAAAAGAAGGAAAATTAAAAAAAAAAATAGTGTCTACTAAAGAGGAAATAGAAACCAGGAAAGTCAGAGCCTTGCACAGACTCTGCCACCCAGGCCTGTGTGTCTGCCCTGCACCGTCCGCAGCCCGGCTTGGCCTCCGGGAGACTGCAGAGCTGGTTCGCCTTTTTCCCTGCATGTCCTGGGAAACTGAGACCTAGGCCCTCCCATTCGCTCCCTCTGCCCCAGGAGTTGCACATCCAGCCCAGAGGATGCAGTCACGTACACAGCGCGGCATCTGCCTCTCCTTCTAGGCGCCTCCGAGCTCCAGGGCACGACTTTAGGACAGTCCTCAGCAGCCCCCTCACCGCAGTTCTGGGCACAGTCCCCGGTGACCACTTTGCCTCCTAATCCACAGCCCCTGGGTCCCCAAGCAACTTCATCTCTGTTGCTTATTTTATCTTCCCCACATCCACCTCTGCCTCTTTCCACTGCAGATGAACCCAAGGCCAGGTCTACCTACACACCGTTAGACTGTGCGAGCCTCTCCTCTCATACCTGTTCGCCAGTGGTGCACACCACCCTGGGTCACTCCGCATGTGTGTTTGGAGAAACCACCTCAGGGAGTTCTTAGTAAAGCATAACCTTGGGGCGTGAGGAGGCTGACCATAGGCAGGAAACATGTTCAAGGTGTTTGGAAACACCTGCGCAGAACCACTCTCCCAGTAGGTCAGGGGAAACATCTCAGTGGGATGTCTCCTGAGAGTAAAATGGCTGCATTGAACTGCTTCCAGTGAATGCCAGGTCTCCAGTAACTGGTACCAGTCAGTCTCTTACTTTTGAAAGTCCTCCCATACATGTGTGGGAATGCCAGCTTGTGCACAGCACAGACACTGATCCCTTTTTCAACCTGTTTAAACTCAGGGCACGTTAGTAGATGAAACACCTGCCACTCACCTCGTTGGCTTCCAAAGCTGGGCATTTCTGCTGCCATGACTATGACACAGAGCACTGGGTGGATACAGAGAGCAGTGGCCTGGATCCCACTGGGGCAGGTGGAAACTGAAACCATGGAATGTGCTCCGGTTTAGCATAGATGACCTTGAGAAGAGTCTGGCAGCAGGGAACTGTATCTGCAGAGCACTGGAGGCTCTGAAGGGAAGGAAAAGAGCCAGACACTCAGCAGCTTGTGCCAGAGCCTCGCTAGGTGCACTTCTCCTCTCTCCCACCAGGCACAGTAAAGAAATTACCAGATTGCCAAAGGCAGTGGAGAAGAGTAACGTGTGCAACTCGGCTTTAAGTGAGCTGAGCAGGGGTAAAGACAATGCAGATCGGAAAGAAAGCGGTGGCACACACTGCCAAGATGCTGCGCTTCCCAGGCTGGAACCACGTGAGAAGCCCAGGCTGATTCCCGGTCCAACTGTGGCGGCTTGTGCCAGACTCAGGAGGCTGAGGCTGGAGGATCACAAACTTGAGCCTGGCCTGGGCCAGGTACACATGTGCCTGGCCAGTTGAGGGAGGATCACGTTGTGAGTGCCCTGCTGGGAATCTCTCTCTCTCTCAAAAGAAATAAGTGAACTTAAAAGAAGAAAGAAGGAAAGAAAGAAGAAAAAAAGAAAGAAAGAAAGAAAGAAAGAAAGAAAGAAAGAAAGAAAGAAAGAAAGAAAGAAAGAAAGAAAGAAAGAAAGAAAGCAAGAAAGAAAGAAAGGAAGGAAGGAAGGAAGGAAGGAAGAAAGAAAGAAAGTATTATGGTGTGCACCTGTGGTCCCACCTGAGAGGTTGAGGCAACATAGTTTAAAATCCCTGTTTAAAAGAAAAAGAAAGAAAAAGAAAGAAAGAGAGGGAGAAGAGAAGAAATAAGATTAGAGAGAAGAAAAAAAGAGTGAAAAAGAGAAAGAGAAGGCAGATCGTGAGTGGCAATGACAAAGGCCACCTTCGATGCCACTTGGCATTATCTGATAGACAACGTCCTGGTCCATCTTCCAGTCCAGTTTGGGGAGCTGTGTGAAAGGGAGGCCTTCCAAGAGAACGAGCAGTAAAGCCTGTTGCACTTTCTGTGCCCTTCGCCTCTATACCCTGGGCAGAGGGGAGGCTTATCCATGTTACACTTACTGTAATCCTAAAGAGAGATGCCTAATTGGTCCCAAAGAGTTCTCAACCTTGTCTTCCCACTTAAAATGCCTGAGGATGGGCCAGCAGATGGCATGGTGGCTAAGGCGCTGCATTCTCATATGACTGATTGTGGTTTAAGTCCCAGACCCAGCAGCTTGAAAATCACACTGGATTCATGTGCATGCATTGCCAAAATCCTTAGAGGAAAGTGGAGGAGAAGGGATTGCAGTGTGGCCATCCTCCCTGCCTGGCAAGCACACATACCTTATGGCAAAACCTTTTTAAAATATTGCCTAGGGAAACTGTATAAAATGAGAGTTACTTAGGCCTCACTTCAACTAATCTCTGTATTAAAAACAAAAACCGAGGGGTCGGCAGGTGGCATGGTGGTTAAAGGTATTGGATTCTCACATGGCCGACCGCGGTTTGAGTCCTGGGCCTGGCAGCTTGCTTTCTTGTATTCCCTTTCTCTCTTTCTCTCTGTCTGATCAAATTTTAAAAAATAATTACAATAACAAATGGATTTTAATAAATAATTCTTAAAAAAAAAAAAAAACACACAAGCAAACAGAAAGTACAAAAAGTACCTCTCCAAAGCTAAGAAAATCTGTAGCCTGGCCCAGCAGTGGCTTGGAGGTTAAGGCACTGGATCGCATGTGGCCAGCTGTATGGTTGGTGGCTTGAAAATCATGCCAGGCTCATGTGCATGCGTACCTAAAATTCCAAGAGGAGACCAGAGGAGAAATGACTTGTGTGTGGCCATCCATTCGGGGCATGATTTCTCACTTTCTTTCTCTAGGAGAGCACAATGCCTATGGCAAAAACATTTCAAAAAAAAAAAAAAAAGTATCTCTAGCCTAACCCAATCAAACCCCCAAGAAATCCAAGCTGATCAAGATAGTGTCTCTAACCGGAGTGTGAGCAGAGGTCCACTCTCACAGCAAATGCAGCTGGGCAACCCTTCGGGATAAGCTCAGAGGACCAGATTTACTGACGCACTTGTTTACTACAGGCATCCTTGTAGTTTACCGTAGTTTTCTCAGGAGATGCCCGAGGGACCAGAAGTTAGCCTGACAGAGGCTTCAAGCTGGAACCGCCAGGCTCAGGGAGGAAAGTCATGCCCACGGCGCTCTCAGTGCCTTCTTCCAGGACCAGAACCCAGCTCTGGCACAGCCTTGTACTTGTGGACGCTCCACCAGGAAGCTGACGATGATCATAAAAGAGAAAGTAATATACTTTTCACATTTCTTCATTTTTCTGTCTTGATAATCTCTTCCTTCGAAACCGCTAACAGTTTCCATGAAGTTGGGCAGAGACTAGTATAAAAACTATTTAAAGCAAAAGTTAAGAGGATACATTCTGCTTCTCTAGAGGATAAGTTCTGCTCAGTATTATCCCGAACCACTGTTACATTTCTGAGAACAGGGGCAGGGGGGACACTTTGCTATGTGATTTAGGAGTACATGTTTTGTGGATTAGAGATGAGACCGTCTCCCTTCTCCACAACTACTTGTCCTGGACTACTCCTCATATCCCCCACAGATTAATAAGAAATGAAGACACAGGTTTTTGGAAACCAAAACCAGCGGTATAAGATGAACACATTTCTGTATCCCTCAGCCACAAGAGCATAGAAGTGAGAAGTGTTGCACCGAATTACGTGCTGTTTTTTGAGACTTCAAGAAGTTTATGCAAACACGGATTTAAAGTAGAAGTTTATTTTAGTGTAAAAAATATTTGAAATCCATGCGTGGTTTTTTCCTAATACACATCTCCATGAACTTTTTGAAGATCCCCCGTAGAGGGCAGCCAATTGCAGGAGGATCTAGGACCAATCTGAACATTCCAGTACAGGAATGAGTAAGTTTTCTCCGTGAAGGTCCAGATACTAAGTTAGGATTGTGAGCCATACAGCCTCTGTCATGTGCAAGTGAAAAAACGATAATAGCTAATATGTGAATGTGGTGGTAGGGGTATGACCGCATTCCAATCAAGTTTTATTTACAGAATGAAGCAGACCATAGTAATGACTGACACTACCCAAACACAGCTTCCACAGACTGAGCCGAGTGGCATGCCCGGGGTGATAAATAAGGAAGAATGACATGGTAAAAGACTGATATGGATTTAATGATACATAGTCCATGTTGGTTGCTGAACACCAGAATGTTGTCCAAAGAAACCATCATTAAATAAAATAACCTGAAAGTCAGGCAATTCTCACATACACAAGCACACACTCACACAAAACCTGGTACTTTTAGGATCATTAAATTATTCACTATTTTAACAAGCAGCTGTAAAATAACATTACAGTGAAGTAAATCTTGCACAGGCTTCAGAAACACAGTCCGATTGTCTACGGACACAGGTTCTGCTTTGTGCTTTTCACAGATGTACAGCCTCTTGATTGCAAAAGAGATCACACGGCTCAAGGGGTTAACTTCTCCACTTCTCCTCCCAACTCAGAGCTTAAGATTTCACCAAAGCCATTTCACCTCTTTAAACTGCTCCAGGTTTTGCTTAGTAAAGGCAGTGGAGGAAGCCTGCTTTTGACCAAACTCCCCAGGAAACCAGTAACATGCTCGCCTCCACCATCATGAAGGAGTGGGTGGAAGAAGCCTTCAGAGGAACATTTTCAAGGGTGAACCGCAGGTAACAAGGTTTGCTGGAGAAATACGATTGTTCTAAAACTAGGTACAAGAAACAACTTCCTGAATGCACTTAGTTTCACTTAAGGAAGATATGTCTCCTGAAGAATGCTAAGAAAAAATGGAATCACATTTAAATGCACCACGAGAACAGGGCGTTGGTGGTTAAGCGTTATCTTCTGAGGGATTTGCGCATGGACGGGGTACTGATGTAATAGCAGACTCTACCCGTGGTAACAGAACATGAGAGGTAAATGAAGCCCCAAATTTTCCACCACCACTAAATTACTTTACATTAGCTTTAATCGCCACCCTGTTGAAACCTTTTCATTCAGTATTGTTGATACATAACATTTTGATGCAGATAAGACTGCATAACGGTGGCAGTCAAAGACCAAGTACCCCCTAAAGGGGATAATCAACCCATGAATAATCAGAACTTCGATGCAATTTCACAGGCAGACTTGAGAGAACTTAAAACGGCTGGAAGAGGTAGATGTGCATGAAAAATACCCACAAAGGAGTAAGGTTATCTGCTTATTCGCTGTATCATTTTCAGGTGGGTTTTGTACTCTTAGCATTCAGACCACGAGAGTCAGAATAAATAACACATATTTGCTTAGTATCGCTCTTGACTAAAACAAAATAAAAATTAGTGCTTTCAACACTATAGTTGGAAAGTCTATTTGCATTTGTGAATAACAATAAACTGATTAAGAGGGCAAAATCAACAGGCATTATACAAGCCCAGAATGATCGAGAATTTTTTTTAAATGTGTTTTTATAATGACAAAATCATGCTTTCCCACAGTCCCCAAAGAGGTTCTTTGCTAGAATACAGCTCATCAAGTATAAATCACTAGCATCCACAGAAACTTGGCTAAAACGGTAAAAACAATCTTGTAGTTTTTTTTTTCCCCCTTCACTGTGTCCAACAGTCTGTGTCGATGCTTCCATGAAAGGTATACACTAACGACCGCTAGTGAAGAAAACAATATTGCTTTCCACAAGTCTAACTTCTAAAGGCTAACCTAGGGAAGGGGTTTTCAGCAGAGCAAACTGAAATTTATACAAGAGTCTAACCAATTATAGCCCCTTACTGGAAATGGAATAGAGCTAAGAGACCCTAAATAGTCGACAAAGACCAGCTTTGTCAATATGGACATCTTTGGCCCTTCTAGGCTAGCCTTAAATTTCCCATCAAGCATAAGAATTTTCAGTGTCTTAATTTCTTTATATAAATCATGAAGTCTTCCTAGCAGCTGAGCTGGAGAATTCCAAAGGTCAGGCCACACCTGTTCACATAGTCATCAGTCTCTTCAGGACAGCCTGCCACACTCCTGCAGGGGTCATAATACTGATCCACTTCTTCAACTGTGAGAAGCAACTAATGCAATCTCTTAAAAGCATAAAGCACCTCGCAAATACAAAAGTGCTATTTTGGCATCTATGGAACAACCAGAAAAACATTCATTGTTTGTGCTATTTGGCAATTTTCCATTTATACCTCTCCCTAACTGTGCCCTTCCTGTGTAAATCCTTGAGGTTTCTACTGTGCCTCCACATGGAAGAAAAAGAAATTCTTCCTGGGACTAGATCCCTCATCAATACGGATGGCAGTGGAGTCCACAGGGGACAGGCTACACAGATGTAAAGTGAAGGCAAAGGAGACAAAGGTGCCCTGCATCCCAACATGTGGACACTCTGCTTTCTGGGATTCTCACCCAGCGACACTCTGAGCTGGTTGACTTCCCTAGCAGGTCACTTGAGCACCTGCTGATGGTGTGAGGTTAATCTGAAACATGCACAAGCTAACTTGGGAAGGGGCACGTGACACATGGCTGGGACTGTTCCATTCCCTGCACGTAGCCGATCTGAAGTGAGACCTGAAAGAAACGCTGGGCGTGGCACACACCTGGCACGCAGGCCAGGTCCTTCACCAGCTGGCATGAAGTAGCAGCAACCAGGAGCAGGACCAGGATTTCCCTCTGGAGATCTGAGAACCAGTCATACATGAATGCCTAAACCCCAGGGGTTGCCTCTTGAGATGGGGGTGTGCAGTTTTCCTGCCTAGTTTTCACGGATGCTTTAAAACAGCAGCTAATTGTGGCTCAGAGAAAGGAAGAGTAGACTATCCTTTTTCTAGGTTTGACAGAGTTCCCCTGTTGTTGGAGGGGCTTTAGCTGATATGGGAGCAGGGTAAACACTGGCTTACCACCTGGTGGGCCCAGCATACAATCTATACCTGCGGTTTCATTTTACCCCGCGCCCCTTACCGCTCCAACCATACCCTCTCCAGGTTCTCATACATCACAGCCCACCTACTCTACTGCCTGCTGTTCTCTATCACCTGCCAACTCCGCTCCCAAAGGTCCAGATAGCGCCGGCTCTGCCATGCTCCTCACCCCCTACAGCGCGTATCTGAGGCAGGCAGCACATCCCCAAATGTTTTTCTTTACATACCTAGGGCAGGCATCATACAGCACCCCAAAAGAACAGCCCTTTCCTGACCTTCACCTTCAATATCTGCTAATGCCCAGGCTCCCCAAGTCACCCTCGGACTGTCCCTCCCACCCCTTTTCCGCTCTTTCTACAGTGTCTGTCCCACATAAGCACTGCTCATGGCCTTCCCTGAGGGCAGCCGCCTCCGACCCAGGTCTAGCACAGGTGCAGCTTCTGGTGCTGCGCGAGGTGCGTTTTGTAGCGGAAGCCTTTGCCACATCCGGCGCACTTGTGCGGCTTGTTGCCCGTGTGGATGCGGCGGTGACGGATCAGGTGCGAGCTCTGGATGAAGCTCTTGCCGCACTCGATGCACGTGTAGGGTTTCTCGCCCGTGTGCGTGCGCTGGTGCTGCGTGAGCGTGGAGAAGTCGCTGAAGCGCTTCTCGCACTGGCCGCAGCGGAACGGCTTCTCCCCCGTGTGCACGCGCAGGTGGTTCACCAGGTGCGAGTTGCGCCCGAAGCCCTTGCCACACTCGCGGCACACGTAGGGCCGCTCGCCAGAGTGCGTGCGCTTGTGCGTGAAGAGGTGCGAGCTGACGCTGAACGTCTCGCCGCACTCGGAGCACATGTAGGGCTTCTCGCCCGTGTGCACGCGCTGGTGCTTCACCAGGTCCGAGCGCCAGCTGAAGCGCTTGCCGCACTCGCCGCAGCCATGCGGCTTCTCGCCGGTGTGAATGCGCTGGTGGTTGGCCAGGTGCGACCGGCGCACGAAGCCCTTGCCGCACTCTCCGCAGGCGAATGGCCGCAGCGCCGCCGCCCCCGCGCCCGCGGCGTGCGCGCGGCGTGGGCTCAGCAGGTGCGAGCTGAGGCTGAAGGCCTCGCCGCACTCGGGGCACGGGTAGGGCTTCTCGCCGGTGTGCAGGCGCCGGTGCTTGAGCAGGTCGGCGCGCCAGCTGAAGCTTTTCCCGCAGTCCGCGCACTGGTTGGGCCGCTCGCCCGTGTGCAGGCGCAGGTGGTTGGTCAGGTACGAGTTCCGGCTGAAGCCCTTGCCGCACTCCCCGCAGCGGAAAGGCTTCTCGCGCGGGGGCCGGGCCAGCGCTTTTTTCGCGCTGGTGCTGCAGGAAGGCGGCGCCCGGGCTGAAGCTCTCCCCGCAGTCGGGGCAGATGGTGGGCGCGTCCATGATGCTGGCCACCAGGCTGTCGAGCTCCCCGAGGTCCATGGCCATGGGGTGGTGGAGCCGGTGGAAGCGGCGGTGGGCAGGCTTTTCTCCCTGGTGCCGACTCCCCAGGGAGAGGTGTCGCCTCCAGGGGAGTACGGGAGGCGGCGGCTGCTCTTCCTCTTCCTCCCCAAGCCGGTTCTCCCCAGCACTCTCCTCCTCCTCTTCCCCAGGGCTCCGGGTTATGCTGTCAGACTCAGACAGTCCCGGAAACATCGCCACGTCAGCCACTCCAGCTTGGCCGTCCTCTTCTTCTTGGAGAGCAACCCCTTCTTCCTCACTCAGCAGCCCCTCTGCAACAGAAAATCGGCGGCAGTGATCAAAAGGTCAGCGTGGAGAAAACCAGTCTCAGTAACGAGAGTGTGCTGAGAACCAATCCCCCCAACCTCCAAGGTCCTCCGCGATTTTAGCCTCCCACCCACCTGGCTCCCCTGGGAAAGGCATGAAGGAGAATGCACGCATAGGCTCTCCCCACCAGCTCCTTGGACAGTTGCTTAGGTCTAGGCCCTCCTAGTGTGCCTGAGGCTCTGCCTAGATGAGCCATCTGAGGGCCTCATAGTCTGTGCCAAGCGGGACCATGTGGTTTCAGGAGAAAAAGTTTGCTGCCTCAAAAGCCAAGACCAGTCCAGGCAACCATAAGAAATGACCACCCAGCCTAACCAGGACCTGGGCTGATTTTGAAAGTACATTTGGTCAGTCTGGAATGGCTCCAAGTGGAGTAACAAAGTAAACTGAACTTTAGGGCTTCACTATATTTGGGAGGTGGGGGGGGTAGGAGGGTGAGAGAGGAATAGTTGGAAGAGAGCAGAGCCCAGAGCACAAGCCTAAGTCAGACGCTGGGCTAGGACACACCTGGTGGTCTCTGCCCATCCCCAGGTAGAGGGCACTTGAGGAAGTTACAGAGTGTGAGCGGGCACATGCTTGTGTGGGCTGTAGGAGAGGGCAGCATGGAGTCTGGGTCTGTGTGTTGGGAGGAAAGAATGTAACCTTTCCTGGCTGTCAAGTCTTTCAGCTCATTTCTGTCCCCAGGCATACACAGTGCAGGATAAAGCAACAGATGCCCAAAGACAGAAATGAGGAGGTGGATGGAAGCCGGATATTTATTCTTTCCAGGTCAAGAATAGCAAGGGAGTTAGCAGAGGAGCCTTGGGTGCTTTGAGAATTGGGCTCAAGAACCTAGAAAGGTCCCTTACCATTATCTGGGAAGGGAATTGACTGTAACTGTAAACATCTGGGTGCTTTCTGACAGCCCAGGACTGAACTAAACAGTTCTTCGCATGCAGCCACTCATTTTACTCTCAGTAGTCCTGTGAGGTGGGCTCTGGTATTAGCCATGGAATTCTATTTGTGTGTTGCTGTAGTCGCTAGTTTGTAGCAGTATTGTCTAGGCCAGGAAGTGCTGCACCAGTGAGTGGACCCCTTCATCTGTGCTCACCAGCATAGCCCTCCTTAGACTGAACTGAGGAAAAGGATGCTCCCCAGGACTAGCACTAGAAATGCTGAGTCAGTATAGAATCCTACTTAACCGTCTCTGGAGAGCAGCCCTGCAAAGAATGGCCCTGGCTATAGTTGGAGGGGAGCTAGATGAAAAGGGAGTGGGCCCCTCCATGGGAATCCCAGCTGTCTCACCTGTGCAGATGTTGGGCATCACTTCCCTCTCCCTTGAGTCCCCTCCTAGCACTTCATCCTGTGGGATGGAGCCAGTCTCCTGTGCCAGGTGGCCTTCTGCCCCAGCTGTGTCCTGCAGATTGGAGCCCATTCCTCCTTCGGGGTCTCCTTCCCTGTCCTCAGAATTTTCAAAATCAGAGCCCATTCCTTTGTCTTCTGATTCCTGGTGTTTACTGACACCCTGGTTATCTTCTTGTTCCATCCGGGAAGGAAAGGGTAAGGGAGGTGACCAGGAATTCCTGCTCCAGGCAGAACACACAGAAAGAAAGGTCGTGTCAGTCTGGCCTCATCACCTTACCATGTCTGCCTTGATGTCCCAGACCAATAAGAAACACAGAGCTCCAAATTCCAGATACCATATCTCCACTCCACCCCACATTTTTTTTTTTCTTTTTTGCTATAGAGCTCATGCGCTCGCCAGAAAGACAAGAGAGAGACAGAAAGCGAGAAATCACCCCCCAGAGGGGATGGCCACACCGCAATCCCTTCTCCTCCATTCTCCTCTCAGGATCTTGGGCACGCACGCACGCACGCACGCATGCACACGCGCCTGGTATGCATTTAAGCCACCGGGTCCGGGACTCGTACCGTAGTCGACTACATGGGAGTCCAGTGACATAGCCATTCTGCTAACTGCTGGTCCCTTCCATCCCACATTTTAAGGCAAACAACTGAGTGCAAAAAAGGAGTGGTCTTGGGGCAGAGGATGGTGGCAACCTCATTCTGAGGCCACAAGTCAACTCTCACTGAGCCAAAGTGTGATCTGCTTCTGTGAACTGCATGTCTATTAGTGTGATGTTACAGTTTAAGTGAGGTAGGTATTTCCATTTCTACCGCTAGGAAAACTCAAAACTCAAAAAGACCCAATTAGCCTAGGCTATATAACGAAACAGAAGAGTGGGGATTAAACCAATTGCGTGGTCTCAGAGTTTCATGTTTTCCTTACTCAAGCTTGCTCTCCTAAGCCCACAACAGATATTACAGATATTTTAACTAATTACAAGTGGATCTTTAAGAAGTCAGAGGGGGTCAGCAGGTAGCATAGTGGCTACAGTGCTGAACTCCTGCATGGCCAACTGCAGTTCAAGTCCCAGAACCAGAAGCTCGAAAATCATACCAGGCACGTATGTGTGCATGCCCAAAGTCCCAAGAAAAGAATGGAGAAAAAGGGATTGAGATGTGGCCATCCCCCTGGGGGGAGATTTCTCACCTTCCTTGCTCTGCTGGGTCTTTGTCTCTGACTCCAATAAGTGCACACACCCTTTGGCAAAAACCCTAAAACCTTTTTAAAAAATTAAAAAGAGGAAAAGTACATTCAAGACATAAGTATAACAGAGCATCAAGGGGCAGGCAGGTGGTGTGGTGGTTAAGGGTGGTAGACTTCCACTTGGTTAACTGTGGTTCAAGTTCTGGACCTGGTGGCTTGCTTTCTCACTTTTCCTCTATCACTCTGTCCCTCTCTGGTCAAATTGAAATAAATAAAGTTAAATAAAATAATTCCTTAAAAAAATAAAAAACAAACAGAGCATCATGTACATGAATTTCTTGTTCAAGGCCATGTCCCAAACAGCACCGCCAACCTGGCTTTGCCAAGAGCTATGAGCAAGATGATTGAGGCCTTAGTAGGTCTGTTGTGGATAGGAAGAACAGCAAGGACCCTCTTTGTATAAACTCTATTTCTAAAGTGCTGATTACAAACTGTACAGCATCTGAACCAGAAAGGACCTTTAACAGAAATAGGCACCAGGGATAATTGGTCACCCCTCTTCAGAGAAGGCTAACATGTGAGCTGTTGGGAGAAAATGACATAAGGCTCCTAAACCCTTTGTGGATGTCAGGTTTACATTTCAAACTTAAAGGGCCCCCTGCCAAGACCGAGCAGTTGAGCCAAAAATAATTATTTCTCCCATCCATCACTCGCTGCTTAGTTCAGAGCAGCAAAACAGTTTCTAGGTCAAGGATACTGGACTATGATTTTGACAAGACCAGTGCGCTGTCTCAGCTGTCCCCAAGGAAGACTGCAAAAAGATGGCAGCTGAGCAAGAAGCTTCTTGCTTGGTTGAAAGTTTTTCCTACCTTTATTGAGGTCTTTCTCAAGCAGCCTGCCTTAGGTAGCTTTTGGCTTGGAGGGCAGGAGTTAAAGGTAGTAGAAATTCCAGCTGGGTCAGCCTCTGTACAGAGCCCAGGGCAAGTCAATTAACCTCTCATTGTTTCAGTATCCTCATCAGTGGAAGGAGGGTACTGCTACTTAACCTTTCTCCCAGGGAGGGTGTTGTTAAAAGGAAACTAATTAAAAAGCACTTTGGAAAATAGTGCAGAGTAATTGGTGCTGAGTTTTACAGATGTGGAAAGCACATGCTCTTCTTTCTAAGTCCTGTTGCCATTCCAGCAACGATTCCCAGGCTGTTCTGTAATTCTGGCAGACACATCATCCTAAATAGGATATTAATTGGATTTTTTTTTGGTCAGGGATGTTGATATACTCCCTCGATAGAGAGAAAATCGGTCCTTCTTAAAATGTGTTGGGAAAATGGCTCTGAGGTTGGTCAGTCAACAGTATCTTGAAATGTTACTGTGTTCTTTTAGAATGTGTGTCATTTAAAATACTGGCTTTCAACACTTGGGGATTTCTGTAGACTACAGGAGGAAAATCTCATTAAAGCTGTAAACTGGCCAGCAGGTGGTGTAGCAGTTAAAGTGCTGGACTCCCACATGGCCAACTGCAGTTAGAGTCCCAGACCTGGGGGCTTGAAAATCTTGCATGCATACCCAAGATCCCAGGAGGAGAATGGAAGACAAGGGATTGTGCTGTAGCCATTCCCTTTGGGGAGTGATTTTTTTGCTTTCCCTCTCTCTGTCTCTGGCAAGCGCATACACCCTATGACAAAAACATAAATAAATCAATAAATGCCATGAGCCTTTTATTTTTAAATTGCCTGATGGCATGTGTGCTTGCCAAAGAGAGACAGAGAGCACCCCTTCGCCAATGGAGTATGGCCATGCCACAATCCCCTTTCCTCCATTTCTCCATCCTCTCCGGATTTTGAGCATGCATGCACATAGGGTGTTTTTCAAGCTGCTAGGACCTGAACCATGGTTGGCCATGTGGATCCAGCTGTTTATGCACAGGGTTTAACCACTGAGCAACAGGGTTGGCACAAAGCAGTAAACTTTTAAAAAGATGCATCCCCTAAGAACTTTTGCCCCAAATCTCATCTCCTTTTGCCTCCTGGAGCTCAGACTCCACAGACAGATCCATCCCTTAGTCTGCCTACATAATGCTCCTGAAGGTAGGGGTAGGTAGGCAAGAGTGGAGCTTTCGAACACCACCTGTTGGTTTGTTAGTGGTGAAAAGCAGTGGAGGGGTAGGGAGAAGCTAAGGGAGAACTAGGCAATGGTCTCTGCCAATCTGAGACCAACAATTAGATCAACAAGGAAATGACTTAGCATGTCACCAGAAACTCATAAAACTAAAACAGCAGAGTTTGGTGTTCAGCAAGGGATAGAAGTGACCACAACTCTCCACCCTGAGGGGTGGGGTTTACTAGTCCAACTTGGGAAGTGGGAAGCAGGGCTTCTGCTCTAAGCCCTTTTAAGAGGGATAGGCTTCTTTTTATTTTATTGATTTATTTTGTTTGTTTTTGCTATAGGGCATGTGTGCTTGCCAAAGATAGATAAACAGAAAGAGAGGGAAACTGAGCAGTCACCTCCAGAAGGAATGGACATGGCACAATCCCTTCTCCTCGTTTGCCTCTAGGTAGTTTGGGCACATGCACACACACACACACACCTGGCGTGATTTTTCAAGTTGTCAGGTCCTAGACTTAAGTCCCCTTTCCTCCATTTCTTCAATCTATCTGGATTCTGAGTGTGCATACATATTAGTTTATTGCCATAGGCTGTGTGTGCTCACCAGAGAGAGGAAAAGTGAGAAATCACTGCCTGGGGGGAATGCCATGCTGTAGTCCCTTCTCTTCCATTTTCCTCTCAGGATTTTTGGCACACATACACATACGCCTGGATGCCAGGTTGTGGCTCAGGGAATCCGGCACCTGAGCCACATCATCACCTACTGTCCTTTTTTTGTTTATGAATATATGAACACTAATATATATATTTACATACACACATGCAGGTTTAGAGAAGATGACCAGAAGGTTATTTACTGAAATGTTAAACATCTTAATCATTTCAGCCATTAACTCTTTTATTATTAAGCTTAACAAAAACCCAATGAAGTAGGATATTATTTCCAGCTTCCCAGGAAACAGGTACAGACGTGACTAACTCAAGGTGATACAGATTATAAATTCAGACCCCTGCAGTTCAGCCCCAGTACCCACACTCTTTACCAGGTCCCGGTGTGTCATTTGGGAAGACTTGTTCTTTTTGTGTATATCTGTATTTTGTACAGTAAACATTTTTAGCAGGAAAAACAAAGTCAACTTTGGTTTTTGGGTTTTTTTTGGTCTGTTTTTAACTGCTGAGGGCATGTGTTCTTACCAAAGAGAGATGGAAAGACAGGGAGAAACCACCACCCAAGGGGTATGGTCATGGCAAAAATCCCTTCTTCACGTCTCCATCCTGTCGGGATTTGGAGCACGTATGCACTCATCTTTCTTTCTCTCCCTCCCCCCTTCCTTCCTTCCCTTCTTTCTTTCTTTTGATAGGTTTTTGCTATAGGGCCCATGTACTCACCAGAGAGACAGGGAGCAACAGAGACAGAAAGCAAGAAATCACCCCCAGGTGGTGGGCAGCATTCTCCTCTCAGGATTTTGGGCATGCATCTACACATGTCCGGGGTCCAGAACTCAAACTGCGCTCAGCCCTGTTGGAGTCCATCGCCTTAACCACTATGCCACCTGCTAGCCTCATCAGGGTGTCTTTCAAGCCACTGGGGCCAGGACTTGAACTGCGGTGGGCCCTGTGGAATCTGGCTCCCTTAGCCACGAGGCTATCTGAGCACCCCGACTTGTTTTTTTTTTTTTTTTGAGAGGGTT